GAGGGCAATATATTTTTTCCAAGTCTTTGTCTGAGAAAGACATGACGTTCGTGGCCTCTGTTCTCCCCTTTTTGATGGCTGGTTGAGCGCTTAGTACTTCTTTTAAGTGCTCAGCCTTCTTGATCGATCCTCTAAGCTCGTATACACGCTCAGGTTTGAATACTCCATGTATCACATTGATCACACCTTGAGGTGGGGCGTCAATTGGCATTCCATTGGGGTTATTATGGTCCTGGGGGGTTGGTTGCGTCCCTCCTTCAATGTATTTATCCAGGTGACCGGCATCCACCAACTTCTTCAGATGCTGTCTTAATGGCATGCAATTTTCAGTGCGGTGCCCCTTTTCTTTGTGGAAGGTGCATCGCGATCTTTCGTCGTAGTCTTTCTGTGCTTCTCCTAGCTTAGCTGGCCATCTGACGAAAGGTTCATCGCGTATTTCGTTTAGAATCCGGTAGATCGATTTCTTGAATACCGTGGTTATGGCAGTGCGGACTCTCAACCATTTTTTATCCTGGTCCTTTCCGTTGTCTCGCCTGTCTCGTCCGTTTTTGTGCAGATGTTCTATCGCATTGATCTTTGCTGTGGTCTTTTTATCTGGTACTGCGGTCATGCCAGATTTTGTTTTGGCACGGGCGCGCATCCTTTCCACCCTGATGTGCTGATGCACTCTTTCTATCAAGGCCTCCATGGTGAGGGGTGGTGTCATGGAGATTGAGTCCCTTAGTCTGTTTCCGACTAGAAGGCCTCTTTTGTATTGTGCAATGGTGAGATTGGTGGGGCAGTCCCCAATCTGGTTGAATGTCTCCCAGTAGCGACTATTGTAGGGTCTTAGTGTCTCCATTTCGCTTATGTCGATGGAGAGTAACTGGTCAATCTCCACCGGGGTTTTGGTGTTCGTTTTGAACCTCGTGACGAATGCCTCCGCCAATTGTGCCCAGGAGGCTATGTTGCCTTCTGGAAGTTTTTCGAACCAAGTCAAGCCTAGGTCACCAAGGCTTGATGGGAAGATGATGCACATCAAAGCCTCGTTTCGCCGATATACCGCCATAACCTGGCGGAAGTGGCTTAGGTATATGTAGGGGTCCGTCTTCCCCTCGTACGTGGTGAATTTGGGTTGAAGGAAACCTGAAGGAAGGGGCGCGTTTTCTATTGCCGGAACGAACGGCGAGGTCTGCAGCCTTGCTAATGCTTTGTCCATTGGTTCGTAGGCAGGGCGTGGTAACGGCATTCCGACCTCGACGCTTCCATGCGTCCGAGGAGCCAACCGCTGAAGGGCAGATACCCTGCGAGGGTTGCGGGCCCTAGTATCCTCCTTCCATCGTGCCTTTTCTTCCAGCATGATCCGCAAATCGGATGATCTTGGCAACTCCGTCTGCCTGGATGATGTCTGGTGCGAGCGCGAGGGTCGATAGGTACTTCCCTTAGTGTAAGACCTCAATGATTTCGTTCTCTCAGACCTGGAGTAACGAGTTCTGGAGGTTCTGGATTGAGTATCGCTTGTCCTAAGGCTTCTACTCTCTGCTTGTGATGGTGTGGAATGCCTTCCACGGTTTTTTGAGCGGCGAGGGGGCGTCTTGTCTTTGCGCCCCTCTCCTGTCGCCACTTCTTTTCCCTTTATCTGGCGCTTCATAATCTCCATGTCTGCCGCCATCCGCCGTATCAATTCGTCCTGTTCCTTCACGCGGTCCTCCAGAACTTGAGGATCAATCATCCGCCTTTGTCTGTCAAGACTTTGTGAACGAGAGTGACGGGGGCTATTATTCTGCCTTCCCCTAGCATCCTTCCTGGGGTTATGTCGTTGGGGCTCCAAGTCTGCCATGGGAGGGACAGGAGGCAAACCTTCGCGCCTCCCACCTCCTTTTGGTGTTTGTTCATCAATGGCGGACTGGGGTAAATCTTCGTTGTCCGTCATCCAACTAGCGAGGGAAGCTTGATCAAGAGGTTTTGTTCTGTCTGTTTTTCCCACAAACGGCGCCAATTGTACGGGAAAGAAATAAACCTTCCCACAGACGGCGCCAATTGTACGGGAAAGAAATAAACCTTCTCGTATAATCCTGTTGATCAAGTCCGCGTTCCTCCAAATGTCGTCACTTTACTCTCTGAAAACACAAACGTTAGCTAGCCGGCGGGTGTGTGCTGGAAACCCCTCCGACGCCTAAGTCAGCAAAATAGACAAGTAGACAAAAGTTCTGTGTAGTTAGGAATCAAAGTTGTGTTACCTCTCCATAGGTGATATTTGTGAGCTTTTATAGGTTCCGTGTGGCATAGTCCTAATAGGACTTCTACTCCTCCATGTAGAGTCCTCCTAGGATTCATACTCCTGAAAGATAATGCTTATCCTTCAACACCCTCCTCACTGCTTAAACCAAGTGAGATGATTTTACCATGATCAGACTTCTATGAGACCGAAATACCATTGCCTTACTAGATATGCAAGTATGACAGATCTAACTTTCAGTCCGGCTCTTTTTTTCCTTGCTTCTATCTCGGCTTCGCATGCCCAGACCGAGCTATCCATAGAAGTGTCGAACCGAACTAACACAGAAGTATCTTGAAGAAGGCTTATCATACTTCGGTTTAGAAGACACAACCAGGCTAATCGTAATATGCTGCGACCGGACTAACTCTGAGGGTGGTGACCCAGCGACCGAACTACCGCGCTCTCCCGGACCGAGATAACAATGCACTTCTGGGACCGGTCTTAACTTTAAGTCCTGCTTGGACCGGACTGGATTTGAGGCCTTTTTACTCAGCCCTTCGTACTGTGGCCCATAACGACCCATTGTCCAGCTCGGCCCAATATTCATATAAATTACCCTCTCACTTTTCAATTCATATATTTTTTTATTTTTAGTATTTTAATTAAAATTATTTACTTCTTAAATACACTTAACTTAGATACATTTAAAAAGTATAAAATTTGTAATTTAACACAAAATCAATAAATACAAAAAATTACAAAAATCCAAAATATTTTTGTATTTTTTTTGTCCTTATTAAGTAGGTGTTTGGCATGCACTAAAAAAATATTTTTTTATACATACACTTATCTAGGTCACATCAATCAATGTCTCTTCTCAATTTTTCTACCAATTTTCTCTACTTTTCTGTATATTTTTTTTTATAAAAAGTTAAAAAGTACACTTATTTAGAATATCCCAAACCACCTCTAAAACTTTTTTAAATTTCTTTCTAAGGGTTGTTTGGGATAAGCTAAATAAGTGCACTTTTTGACTTTTTATGAAATATAAGGTCAAGTTTGGCTATCCTAAATAAGTACATACTTTTTATCTTTTTATCTTTTTTTCATCACATCATCTCTCTATTTTTCTGCACATCTTTTCGTAAAAAGACAAAAAGTACACTTATTTAGATCATCCCAAACAACCTCTAAGTTGGGTATGAGTTGAGTTTGAAGTGATGTGATTTAAATAAGATGATATGACTTAAATATGATAGTGACTTTTTAACTTTTTTAAATTATATCAAACCAAGCCTAAATATTTTTAACTTTTAAGTACATATAAGTTAGTTATATTTAAAAAAACAAAATTAAAATATAAAAAAATCAACTAAAAATAGCAAAACCCACACACATACCCAAAAAAAAAAAAAAAAAAAAAACCCCTAACCTTTTCTCCTTTATCAATGGAAAAGAGAAGAGAATATAATTTTTTTACAAAATCAAGTATTATCGTAATTGATTGTTGATCCGATGTTCTCATTGGCCAAGATTTCTGGTCGTTTCCTTGCCACCAAAGATGTGTTTTTCTCGCTATTTCCTTGCTGCAAACACACACACACACACACACACACATATAGGCAACAATTGAGGGCAAAAGCGTATTCCAATCTCTAAGCCAGCGGATTGATTTTTCAATCCCAGCTCATCTGAGGGAAAGATAATTTGGTTGGGATGTAAGAGTAATACTCCAGGTGGAGTAGCAGTTCCACTCAATAAGGAAACAAACAAACACGTTATTATGGACCCCGCTTCACTGCTACTCCAATCCTACACTCTAATCAGCAAAATAAACATGGCCTTTATGGTATGCTTGTAAATGATTCTGATTTCTCTAAATCTGATAATGATTTGGAGAATTCATAATTATTCTCCTATACAATAATAAAATTACCTAAATTATTAATTGAAATATATTTATAATATCATTAAAAACTGTTAATTGACTTTATGATTTATTAATAAAATAAACAATTTGTTATGAAATTAAAAATCTCAAGGATAACATGTAATTTTTAGAATCACAGAAGTTATTCTTTTAATTAAATTTCAGAGTATGTATTTGTAATTTATTCCATTTTATATGAGCTGTTTTGAAAAGTATTTTTTTTTGGGGGGACTTATTTTCATTTTTAGTTAATTTTTAAAAAAAATTAATTTTTTTAAAAGTTTTTCTAGATTCAATTGGATAGGTTGAATTATAATTTTTTTTAAAAAAAAAAATTCAAAAAAAATTCAGAAATGACAAAAACAAGCTAAAATAAATAATCTTTTTTTGGTTTATTTTCATCTTTAGGCCTCGTTTGGGAAGAACGAGTTTAGTCAAAAAGTTAAAAAGTTAATAAAAAGGTCAAAAAGTTAACAACTATACAAAAAAGTCAAAGATTCTCTTTTCTTTTTACTTTTTGCACATCTTTTCGTAAAAAGTCAAAAAGTCATCCCAAACATACTAGTTTTTTTTCCTCATATTTTAGTTAAATAGTCAAAAAATTACTAAATTAACCTGTTCCCAAACGAGGCCTTAGTGATTTTTTTCTAAATTTTTTTCAAAAAAATATACTTTTTAGATTAGTCTCAATGGATCAGAAAGATAAATATTTTTTGTATAATTATTTTAAAAAATCATTAAAAATAAAAAAAAATTCAACAAAGGAGGTGATTTTCTTTTCTGTTTTTTGTGGGCAAAATGCGCCAGACTATGGAATGTATATATTGATTTTTAATTATTATGCATACAGCTACAACGGCAAATGTATATAAAATTGCAATATGACACGCTCTCTCTCTCTCTCTCTCTCAGTAGTGGGAGCTGAGTTGCAGATGAACCAGCAGATCTAGATCCCAGCCTCAAATCCTCGGATCGTTCGTCTCTGGTATCTTTATCTCCAAATAAAATTTACGTATATATATATATATAAATATGTTTCGACAATCGCATTTGAATTCGTTGATTTGTTTCTGGCATTTTACAGTCATTTTAATTTTTTTGCTCATTTATGACTTTTGTGTTCACGATTAATGGCTCTGCTTCGTTCAGTTTATCCTTCTTTTCATTGTTGCACTGATTCTTGTTATGCACTTCATTTTCCTAGTGTTCTGAAGCTTTTGAGATTGATATTCATGTTATTTTGTCTGTGCATTGTGTATTAAATTGCAATAAAAATGTGAAAAAATGGTCTAAGCTTCTCTCCATCCACTCCGTTGTGTGTGATGATTTGAATTGTTTATTTTTTTATGTTTCTGAGTTAGATTAGATCATTCATAAAAATAAAGTAAAAAAATTTAAAAAATAATTTGATAATTATAACCACATAATTTTATAATATTACTTTTTAAAAAAGAAATAGTTTTTCAGAAAAATTTGGATGAGAATTGTTTGTTTTATAAGGCATGTTTTATTAGTTAAATTTGGTTTTTTATATTTTATATTTTTAATAAATGAACTACGCCCAGACTTACAAAATGAACAATCATATCATTGTTGTGAGCCCGTGGTAAGCCCACAGGTCTGGAGGTATCTCCTAAAAATATATTACAATTCCTTACATAGTACTTTTATTTTTTTGTCCACATTTTATGGTTGCTGTTAATTAAAATGGTTCTGGGTGTTTGGGAACCTGTGCACAGAAGCAGAAGCCAAGCAGTTATTAGTTGTGATGTAATGTAAGCAATGTATGTTTATGGTTTAATATTTCATCCTAGCTGTCTGACTATTAAATTTGTGTGCATAAATGTAATTGAATGTTTGAGTTCTCCTTTTCTGATTGGCAACAAATTTTGCGAAGTTAGAGCTTTAGTTGTATTAGCTTATTTTTCCTACGAAAGAAAATATTATAAATGCGAGCATGACAGCAAGGATTGAAAAATCCTTACAGATTAAATTCAAGTCAATTATCAAGCGATTGTGTTGACGGTTCTTTTGCCTCAATGAAGAGGATTTCAAAGAAAAGAAAAATTAAAAGAAGAAAGAGGGAGACGGAGAAAGGTGATTGAGTCAACAATTAAACTAGCCATTAATTTATCTCTACTTTTATGCTTCGAAAAGGAAGTATATAAAATAAAGTGCTGAGAACTTACCTCTACTCTTATGTTTCGAAAATGAAGTGCAGAAAATTAAGTACAGAAAATATAAATGACAAGAAAAATAAAAATTAATTGTCTTTGATTTGAGTTCTAGATCTCCTTTTACAATGTAGCCATGAATGGCTATTTATAGGCAAACATTTGTAGGAAAAAATCACCTAAAACTACCCACTCTTCCACCTCCTTCATTTCATACTCCATAATCTTCCATAACTTCCTTCAACCTCCACTTCATGTTTCATGTTCTCCACATTGTTTTCCATCATCTTTCCACATCTTATAACTTCTCATAACCTCCAAATGAGTAGGAGGGTGCCACATATCTTGTAATTATATAAATAATAAATAATAAAAATTACAAATTTATGGTGCCAACATTATCCCTCGCGGCTATTAAAAATGATGTTTACTTGAATTTTTGAAGGGTCGAACCAAGCACATGACTAATCTAAGCAACAAAGTGCTTCGAATAATATTAACAAAGTGCTTCAAATGATATAATAGCACCAATAAAGTGCTTCAAATGAGCATGAAATTATGACTTAGATGTCTCGAATTATATATATGCCTTGAAAGGATATTATATATGTGCTTCAAATCAGCATCAATCTCTTAAAGGAAATTAAACAATTTTGTTTTACTCGTACTTCAAACACTTAGAAAACTTGGAACCTTTTGAAGTAGGTTGATGTTGCTTGCACTTAGAATCATTCAGAACCTCATATTTTCAGGGCAAAGCCAATATCCAAACATGATTTACCTTAACAAGTTGTTATACATGCTAGCTATTATGGACTAGTAACAAGCTTCGAAAGTGGTATAGAGGACCAAAATCATCCTTCAAAGGTCGAAGGTGCTGACAAAGGACGAATTACATCCTTGGAAATACTCGGCAAAGCTTCGAAAGTTCACAACTACCATTATTGTTTCTTCGAAGCTGTTGTTGATGCAAGATGGAGTACTTCGAAGCTTACAAAATTATGGCAAAAGGGCATTCGAAACAAGGTTTGGCCAACATTGTGATTATTCAAATTTTATATGTTCTGGTTCACACATAATTAATGAAAATATTAATTTTGTGCTTCGAATCAATTATTAATTCTCCGGAGACACCAAAATCGTTGTTCTTCGAACCAACTTTTGTAGAATACTAGTTACATTTTCATGTAACAAATGTCTATAAAAATGTTTATCAGTAAAGTTACCAATTATCATTCCAAAAATAGGCATTATTTGACAATTAATTAATTGTCATTTTACATATATTTGAAGGGAGGTACAAATTTCGAAAGCTTTCTCATCCCATGTTACATTTCGAAGGTGTTTATTGATGACAAAACCACCCTTCGAAAGTCACATATGTTATTAAAGGATTAAAGTCTTCCTTCGAAAGTGCTCACGACATCTCTTCAAACCAAATCCAAAGAGTTGGATTACAATGAAATTAGTTTGGCATTTTAACTAGCTATTAGTGGCTATAAAATGATATTTCAATGAATACATATAACAACACAACCATTTATCCTTTGAAAAGGGTTGAACAACCCTCACATGTTCTTAATGACATGCTTCAAAGTGTCTTGGGACATGCTTTGAAGGTAACTACAAAATCAAATGGTGATGGTTTTATAGATCAACTAAATATTTTTGGCCCAATATATTGCAATAACGAAATATTATTTGTTAGCCATTCCATCAAAGTCAACGTTTGATGTGATCTACAAATCCAAAATGGATTTTGAATAACAAAAGTCATGGTATAGTATGACCACGAAAATTTGTACTTTTTGACACTTTGAAAAATGTCAAAAATTTTGAATTTATGAACAGTGGTTTGTTCGTTATTCTTGACCATGTTTGGTCTAAAACCATGACTTTCGTCAAATTGATTTTCATAATTATTTGGCAAGGTAGGCTGTTTTTCCATGTTAGCCATTAATGGCTTATGAAAATCCCCCATAGGTATTGCAAGACTTGACTCTCTAAAAATTGGTTTTTGGACCCCCCGAGCCATGCATGGAATATCATTCTTAGCCAAATTTGACTCAATAACATGCTCTTTTGTTATATTAATTTCATAATTTGGCTCTTTAAAAATGGGCTCTTGAACCTCCCGAGCCATTGATGAAATTATATTTTCACTAATTTCAGTCACAAATGACTTGAAAACATTTTGTAAAATTCCACAAAATTCAGTCATTGAAGACTTGACAAGAAGGGTTGAGAACTCATGTCTCCATTGGCAAATTTCCATATCAGGTTGATGAATTACTCTAATTAAATGGTGTATTTTTTCTTCTATCAAACAATATTGTAATGGATGGAAGTTTGTTTCATCAAGAAAATGGATCTCTTCTTGAAGATCCAAAATTTTTTATTTACGCCAAAAGATTTCATCTAGGCTATTTAGAATGGACGAATCTAATTTATTTTTCATTTCTTACACTTGAAGTCCCATTGGGCGTGCCAAAAATTGTTGGCTTATTTTTCCTAAGAAGGAAAATATCATAAATACGAGCGTGCTAGCAAGGATTGAAAAGTCTTTACAGATTAAATTCAAGCCAATTATCAAACGATTGTGTTGACGGTTCTTTTGCCTCAAGGAAGATGACTTCAAAATTGCCAAGTGTAGAAAAAAGAAAAATTAAAAGAAGAAAGAGGGAGACGGAGAAAGATAATTGAGTGAACAATTAAACTGACCATTAATTTATCTCTACTCCTATGCTTTGAAAAGGAAGTACATAAAATAAAGTGGAGAGAACTTATCTCTACTCCTATGCTTCGAAAATGAAGTCCATAACATAAAGTATAGAAATTAAGTATAGGCAATATAAATGACAAGAAAAATAAAAATCAATTGTGTTTGATTTGAATTCTGGATCTCCTTTTACAATGTAGCCATGAATGACTATTTATAGGCAAACATTTGTAGGAAAAAATTACCTAAAACTACCCACTCTTCCACCTTTTTCATTTCATATTCCATAATCTTCCATAATTTCTTTCAACCTCCACTTCATGCTCCATGTTCTCCACTTTGTTCTCCATCATCTTTCCACATTTCATAACTTCTCATAACCTTCAAATGAGTAGAACGGTGCCACATGTCTTGCAATTATATAAATAATAAATAATAAAAATTGCAAATTTATGGTACCAACAAGTTGACATTGTGCAACACCCTTGTGCCTTTGCTAAGAAATCAAGGAAACAAAAAGTAAATTAAGTGGCTTGCCTGTTTAGAAATGGAAGTACTAGAGTGTTAATTATCCCCAATTTATGTTATTGTGGGGTGAGGTAGCTAGTTTTTTTGCCTTGGGGTTACGCTTTTGCTTATCATTGAAGAATTTTTAATTTGGGTTAATGTCAAAGGTTATAGAACTATATAAGATTAGAACACCATATTTAGTTGATTTCTTCCTAGTGATATAATAATTAATACTGGTGAATAATTTCTACATATTTGTTTGAAGGATAAATTTTAACCATGTTTAGGGCCAATTTCATAACACTCTCATGACCTCATTTCCCGAAAGCTTAGGCTTAACAGTAAACACCCACATGCACACACCCATACAAACAATTTTTTTTTTTATCAGCAAAAAGAGAAATTTTATTGATGAAATGAACGTACATTGCATATGACACTACATCAATAAAGAAGAGGCGAGAGCAAGGAGCATCATAGCATTACTCCCTCATCACTAGGTTGGCACCAAGTAGAACACCCAATCATATGCTAGCTCAAGCCAAAAATTGGTGAGATACCATCAAAGAACAAACTAGCTAAACAAACAACAAATCACAAGATGAGTTCACAACCACAACAGACAGCCACAACTAATGGAAACACTACACCAATCAGCAGCAGCAACTAAAATTCACTTCCACATCCCTTCATCCCAAGCTGCTAACCTGTAGCGGTGGCAAAAGCAAAGCAGCAGCAGCAGAAAAACAGTAGCAATAACAGCAGCAGCAACGGCCAAACACCACTAGGAGACCCTGCATTTCCCCTGCCTCCAAAACGCCGAACTCAAATCATCACCAATCCAATGCATCAGCAGAACCAACATCCACACAACACATACTAACCTGCGGTAGATCTAATCTGCTTCATACAATGCACCAGATCATGCACTGAAAACACACATCTGGGATTATTATACTTCACCCACAGTGCAATCCTGATTTTTACCAACTCACAAAGTTCCTCCACCTGTGGCTGAGTTCCTCTAAAGACAATCATTTATGCATTTCCATACGGACCACAATAAAGCCATAGGAATTGTTTTCCAAACCATCCAATCAAACTTTTTAAACTTAAACCCAGCCCCCCAATTAAGAAGCCCCTCAATTGATCCAGTTACTACCCACCGTAAACCCCACCATCCACCAGATTAGACCACACTTTCCAAATTGATGGGCACAACAAAAACCACATGGTTAACAGATTCAACATCAGAGTTGCAAAAAATGCAGATGTTACTACACCAATATGCTGCAGATAATCCATGGTTTTTAACCCTCCCCTTCCAAGCCAACCACCCAAAGAATTGTGATTTAGGGGGAGACAAATTATTCCAGATCAGGGAGGGGACAATAGAAATGACATCAGCTCATTTCTATTGTACGTAGAGGCAACACTGAACTCATCTGAAGGAGATGCTAATCATCTTAGGCAATCATTAAGGTCTGTCACTAGGGACATAGCAGCATTTAGCATAATGTTGAGACTTCTAACCTCAGCCATCTCCCAAGCTTAGCGGTCTTCTGAATGTCAACACCCAAACTTCTGAATCGCCTTTCTTTTCCAACAGCATCCCAAGCGAGTCCTCTTTCTCCATTGATAGCTTGAACAATCTTGGAAATAAAGCTTTCAGACATTGATCTCCAACCCAATTATCAGTCCAAAATCTAATTCTCGATCCATTTCCAGCAACAATCCTATTTTTTGACGGATAAAAGTTTCCCATTTGGACATTACCACTGGCTACCGAAAAGATGTCAAGCCATAATCTTGAGACTCTGCTAGTATCTTCCAAGAATGGCAGCCAACTCCAACCAATAGAAGCATACTTGGAACAAATGACTTTTTCCATAATGCCTTACCTTCATTACCATATCTCCACCACCGCTTTGAAAGCAAGCAATCATTGAAGCCTCTGGTCCTCTTGATTCCCAAACATCCTTTATTCTTGCCTTTTGTAATATCCCCCCACTTAACCCTGTGAATTTTCTTCTTTAGATCTGCACCTCCTCAAAAATGAAGCTTGCACTTTATCAATTATTTTTGCCACACCCTTTGGCACCTTGAACAACGAAAGGTAATAGACAGGTAAATTTGATAGCACAGATTTAATCAAAGTAAGTCGTTCCCCAAAGGATAGAAACTTCCTTTTCCAAGAGGCTAACTTGAGCTTAAACTTGTCAATTCCAGGTTTCCAAGTGGCTAGTCTTCTGGGGCTTGCCCCTAATGGCAACCCAAGGTAGGTAAAGGGAAGTTTCTGGCTCTTGCAATTAAGCAAATCTGCGAATTCAGACACTACATTTTCAGCCACTCCCACTCCACAAACACTACATTTTCATACAAACATTACATTTTCAAACAAACATATTATATGATTATACTAGAAAGGTGTCACACGCAATGTGAATCAACTAGTCCTTCAAATAATCAGTCATGATTTCTCTCTCTATTCTGCAAAAAAACATCACCACTCTTTTTCTTTGTAACAGACTCTCTATTCCTCAGTTTTCTCACTCTTTCATAGCTCCTCAAAAATACTTAAATAGAATGTTTATGTTAGTCCCCATTGAGCATTTTCTTATGATTGCTAAATTATTTTTGAAAGCCTCAACCAAACACTAGAAGTTGTGAAGGAAAATTATTATTATTTTTTCATGTAAAATAATTTTCAGTATAAAATGTTTTATATTAACATAAAATGAGCATTAGTTTATTTTTTCCTTACTGGCATCATGCACTATGTATGATCACAATTTTATGGTATTTTTGGCTATTTACCAGGTAAATAGGATTTAATGCACATTGTTTCCTTCTAAAATTTTATTCTCTCTTTCAACTAATGGCAGGTCTTGCAGGCTCATTACTACTAACATAACCATGTCAAGAAGGCCCTCTTGACGTTTTACAGATGTTGGGAATATTCCATTATGGGCTCCTTCCATCCCAAAACTCACTCCTCACCTTTATTATCAATTGGACTTGTGGTTGTGGTAAATCTCAGTTCCATCGCTATATTACCAAATCAGTACATTAACAACTGGAATTTCTCTTGGGTGAGCAAATATGCTCGGTAAAATCTCTCAATTGATGCCTCTATTAGTATTACAACCCAGGCCCTGCACATAGTTTCTTATATTGTACTAAGTTTTGTTGTTTAAGTTCTGATTAATATTGCCTTTTTTCTTTTCGAATTTTCAGGGTGCATTTCTCATAATCTGGTATCTGTACAGTGGCTCAGGTCTGCATTTTGTTTGTCAACTTGAATACTGATTACTAGAAATGAGCTCAAACATCTGCATTCTAACCTTTTGGCTTTTGTGTGGTAGGTGGATCTAGCAGTGCTATAGAGGCTGTAAGTAAACTTGAAGGTAAATATCTGTGATCTCTTGTTGAAGCCCTTGCTTTCTTGTTTCTAATAGGACTAATACAATTTAGTGAATTGGACATGACTACTAAGTAAAGTTTTTTATGTGGATGCATAACCTAAAGCTTTATCATTTGATCCTTTATTATCGGAGGCTTGTAGAGTTTCATTGGAAATATTTATTTATGATAGCATCCTTATATCAAATGGAATAAGTAATTTTGTGGAAATTTCTATGCATGAGGATGCACACCTAGTAAAATATTGACATAGTTAGCCATCACCCTATTGGTCAACATTTTGGAACTTCTAATATGGTTTTCTCATATCATCACTTATTCCGTTCCTATGATTTTACTTTTTAACTTTATCCTTTATCGTGCATTTAGGGTGAACTCCTGACCAAATTGATTCTTTTGATATATATGTATTTACATGTATGTATATTTTAGTTAAAAAGGCAGTAAGTTAGATGTGACTTCCCTCTTGATGGTTGAATGTTGTTTGACTGCAATAGTTCATTTACATAGTTGCTGATGTTTTATGGATGGCTTAGATAGCTTACCTACAAAGGACTTGATTTAGGTACCTAATATTGATTATGTAGCCTAAAGATGTTTAAGGGAAAAGATTAGGCATGCTCTGCTATACAGATTATCTAGTTGCTTTTAGAGTTTTTACAATCTAACTTTCAAAATATGGACCAAAAAAATATGATTGATCATTGATGCTCTTACATATGTAAACCACAAAAAATCTCGTCTTGTCAGGGTATTTGAAGTGGTCCCTTTTTTATTTTTCTTTTCCCCTTTTTATATTAACTGCTGTATTGGTAGCAGCTGCAGATAGGGACCAGCATTTCCGAATTTAAAGACACAAAATATGTATATGCAGGTGGTGTTTCTTGCACATTAGAAGTTCAGAAAGCATTGCCTATTCTGAAGAAAGCATACGGTGACAGCATGCGTAAAGTGCTTCATATAGGCCCTGAAACTTGTACGGTTGTCTCTAAATTACTAAAAGAAGAGGATACTGAAGCCTGGGGTGTTCAACCATACGAATTAGATGATGCTGATAGCAACTGCAAGAGTCTGGTACACAAAGGCGTTGTGCGTGTGGCTGACATCAAGTTCCCTCTACCCTACCGGTCAAAATCATTTTCTGTTGTTGTAGTGTCAGATACATTAGACTATCTGTCGCCAAGGTACCTTAACAAGACTCTGCCGGAGTTGGCAAGGGTATCGTCTGAAGGTTTTGTCGTTTTTACTAGAAAATCCCTTAAACAGGCCTACAGTTTATATATTTTTGAACATTTTGATATCACACTAGGCCGTAAAGTTTGGTTTGCCTACTTGTTCTGACCAATGGGGACCATATTTCAATTGATAATGGGTTTGTTTTGTGCAACTTTTCTCAAGCTAAAAGCTGATAATCAAAAAACAAAAGCTAAAAACACCCTTCTCTCAGCGTTGAGATAATCAACTTTTTCAATCTTAATTTTTGCTATTTTGTTGTTGTCATATGTAGGTTATCCAGGTCAGCATAGAGCTAAAGCGACAGAGCTAACCAAATTTGGTCGCCCAGTAAGTCACTATTCTTTGTTGGATTGCAATCTATTCCTTATTCATTGAAGGGATTATATATTTGTCAATATGTCTGTGATGGTATAATTATATTATGGATTGTATTGACTTTTAGATTGTTTGGATTGGCATCTTAAATGATAGAACTCATTGATTGAGGAGCTTCATATGTTATCTAATACAGTTTATAGACCCGCACCTGGTGTCTCTGTGAAGTAGATGTGTGGAATGATTCTAGAAAACTCCTGATGGAAGCAGTGCATGTTTAAGATTCTAAACTCCTACTGATCTCATATTGGGTTGCTACCACTTCTAGAAGCTGAGAAACATTAACACAAATATGGGACGTGGTGAATTAAAAAAATTATGATACGGACAAAGCGGGATAGGACAGAATATATTATATATATACATATTTTATATTTTTTATCTAAAAACAACCAAAAGTAATGTAAAACTAACACTAATCAACTTGAAAACCCACTCAATTACATCGAAAATGTCAGAAGCGTGTAAGTTCAACAATGAATAGCGTATCCACTAAAAATATGTAGATCCCTATTATTTTCAAGAAATAATAATATGGTGTTAATATTTACTAAAATTAGGTACCCCTATTAGTTTCAAGAAATAATAATATGGTGTTAATATTTACTAAAATTAGGTACCAAAAATTCTAAAGCTCATTCTTTCTTGAGAAAATTGAACAGACTACATAGGAGAGAGAATATTAAGCAGAAATTTACTCGAACTGATATTTTGAGAGTTATGAAAGCCCAAGTGATTCTACCCATACGATGTTTGATTTGTTTAGGACGGTGTCGGGAGAACTGTGCTATCTCATTTGTGAGCATTGATTTTTGTTGCGTGGTTGCTTTGCTCCCACTTCAACAGCAGCAATCCATTTTCTTCCCTTTTGGGAAAAAAACCATTGGTTGGACGGTTTGACTTTAAAAACTTGACATGCTAGTATGTTTTTTCTTGTGTAGGCCAAATTGAGAAGCTCAACTTGGTGGATAAGGTTTTTTGTACAGACCAGCATAGAAGAAAATGAAGCTGCTACTAAGAAGTTTGAGCAGGCCGCAACCAAGATATTGTACAAGCGAGCTTGCCAAGTTTTCCATCTCAAATCACGCCACTGAAAATCTCCAGATAACATGGCTTCTTGGCGAAAACAGTGCCGAGATATGTCTTCTGTTCGCATGCAGCTTATTAATATTTGGTAGAAACCATGTTACTCTTTCTTTTTCTTTTTCTTTTTTGGTGTTTATGTTAGGTAGATAGCTGTTGATTGAATTTTTTTTTGGGAAAGATTGTGTATTTTGCGAAGATGTAATGTTTAATGTTCTTGCTCCCCAATGCCGGAGCGTCATGTAGCTGCAATGATAGTTCTGTTTAGCATGTTCGGATCGATTCTTCTATTTCATTTAGTATAGAGAACTAATCACTATTCATTTAATGATATTTGTAATGATATTCTGTTTCCATGTCTTCCACTTTCTTGTAACCTGATTTCGAGCGATGGGATTAGAGCAAGTACCTGGTAATCTTTTCTTGAAGTCTTTGTTTATTACATGTTGATTTTATTTTTTAAGGAATTTATTTGTTTTTGGGATATTTATTCTTTTATTGATTTTTACTAGGAACAGTTGTTTTGTCACCAAATAGAACTTTTCACACAATTAAGTTTCAGCAACGATTCATAAAGGCCGGGTTAGATTTTTTGTTGATGTTTTTAAAAATGTCATCTTAAAATTGTGGGTTGGAATTTTTTTCTGTTTTATTTTTTTCCTCATTTGGGTGTTAGTTGTCAATTGTCACATAGTTTTTCTCATAATTAAATTTTATTGTCAAATAAAAAATTCAACAAACTGCATCAAAATTTAAATTTCACATATTCACAGCCAAACTCGTATTCTCTAGGTCTCATTTCAGCATTAAAAATATATGGAAAAAGTTCAAATTTGGGACACGGAGAATAGCAAATGGGATTCACTTTTCTTTAAAAAAATATTTAAGGAAAATACAAATCAATGAAAATAAATAAAAATAATTATAAAAATATGAAAGTGCAAATGGAATTTATGTTCTAGTGTAAGGTGGTTATAATTTTCACTTGCAGTAAAGCACAGACTCCACCTTATACCTTCGGAAGCATTTTACTCTAGTAACTTTTTATAAGGATTTTGTTATTATATACCCTTAAGGCACGTATTAAGAAATTTATAATTTTTATATAAAAGTGAGTATAATAAAAAATATATAACATTTTAAATTCATTTTAACATGTATTCTAAGAGTGTACATTAACAAGACTTTTTTGCCATTGTTTTTAATTTTTTTTTTAAATCTTATTTACAATTCCCAAAACAATTCATGTTCATCCTTCAATTATTGCTAAAAATGCGGTCTATCTGCATTGCTAAAAACCGGCCGCCAATGGCGTGAGATTAATCAAATGTACCCCCCAAAAATTATATATATATATATATATATATGATATTCTTTCAATAGTCAAAAGATAAAAAAATTACATTAAATTAGATAATTATTATACACTAACACAAATTTATTTGCTCAATAACCAATTCCAACCACCAACACAAGCCAGAAGGAGGAAAGAATCCATGATGAGAGGAAACAAACTCAATAAGTACAATAAAGTTTTGTGTAGGGATGGCAATAGGGGTTAATGGGGTGGATATTAATTCACCATCCCCATTCCCCTATAATAAATTTTTCCCATTTTCCATTCCTCATTCTCCATGGGTACAACCCTCCCCATTTCTTAATGTGTATGGATTTTTCCAAACCCACTTTAATTCCCATTTTTATTTTATTTTTATTTTTTATATTTAATGTTAACAACTACTCTTTTTTTTTTTTTTAGCTAAATATACCTTCAATTTTTTTTCTTTCTTTTTTAATATATTTAATGTTAACAACTTATTTTTTTTTATTTTTTTTAAGGTTTACAATAAAAGCTAATATACATTCAATCTTATTTTATTTTATTTGGTTCAACAACAAAATCAAATACACATTAATTAATTAATTAATTAAAAAATTTGTTTTATAATAATCATATATATAATTTTGAGACAATCAAATAAGTATTAGTAATTGAAAAAAAAAATATGGAAGAACGTGGAAGAATAAAAAAAAATTATAACCATCTCTCTCTCTCTCTCACTCTCACTCTCACTCTCTCCCTTACATGTTGTAAGAACCTGATTACAATGTTATAAGAGCATGTTTAAAGAAATAAAATGTGAAAGAACCTGTTTGAAGAAAGTGTTATACGACCCATATTAAATTGCATTAGGGCATAAATAAGGAATTATTTGTTGATCTCTTAGCCACAGACATTTTAGACATTAAACCATCTTTCTCTTAGCAAATTTGAACCATTCGTTTTAATTTATTCAAAATCTAATTATACCTTTTAACAAATCTGAACCACTCATTTTAAGATATCTATGCCTTACCACACCCAATCCATCCTCCATATTCTTCCTTTAGACCCTCACGAATTTTGTTGTTTGTTACTTTTAAAAAACAAAAAAATGTTTTTTCAATTAAATTTTCACTAATTTCACAACACCATCACTACTATTCTCACCTTCACTGTCACACTACCATCACCATAGCCACTACCATCATCACTGCCGCCATCACCCCACCACTATGTCACAATCTCTTAAAAACCGGCCGCCAATGGCGTGAGATTAATCAAATGTAACCCCCCAAAATTATATATATTATATTCTTTCAATAGACAAAAGATAAAAAAAATTACATTAAATTAGATAATTATAATACACTAACACAAATTTATTTGCTCAATAACCAATTCCAACCACCAACACAAGCTAGAAAGAGGAAAGAATCCATGATGAAAGGAAACAAACTCAATAAGTACAATAAAGTTTTGTAATGACCTTTATAATGATCAACTCCTTAACTTCTTAGTTAAAGAGTATACATAAGTAATCAACCTAACAATTCCAGTAGATTAAATGTATAAAACTAGATCCTCTTTAAATCATATTTACATCACTCATGAATCGTAGTGACATAGATAAGGTAATATTCAAATCATTGTCAGTCTTTCTCACTAATAGTAGTATGCTTTGCTTTTGCAGTATATATCATAACAATCATCACCGTCAATCTCAGCTCATAGAAAATTGTAGAACTTAGACATGTGAACACCTTCATCATTTTCAAGTCATTGAGACGCATAAATCACTTTCTAGGTCTTCCTTTGATTGTGAATCAAATAAAAAAGTGTTCCTTTGATTGCTCATAAAGTTCCATGATTACTCATAGCCATTGCTAATAAACCACATAATTTATAATAATATTATTATTTTTTTCCCTTTTGTGAACTTGGACAATTGTTATGTCACATTAATAGGTTTCCTCACGAGCATGGATAAATTTTCCTAGACTATTTTCCATGGTTAACTTTTCCAACACTAAGTCTATAAATATACCCTAAAACCAAACCTCCCAATTGCACAAGAGGAAATCAAAATGGAGTTTTCAAAAATTTCACTAGTCATTGTTTCCTTCATGGCCTTGATCATGACTCATCTCTCCTTAGCCCAAAATTCCCCACAAGACTTCCTTGCACCCCATAATGCAGCTCGTGCGGAAGTTGGGGTCTGGCCCGTGACGTAGAATGACACCTTCGCGGCATATGCCCTAAACTCGTTGGAACAATTTTCTGTGTAAATAAAAAATAGATACAAATTCAAACAAAATAAAATAAAACTTACAGAATTTATTTTGTTGAACCGAATAAATAATTAAAGACCAAGTAGAGTGTGTGACACTCTGTCCTTAAGACAGATTTGCCCCGCTACAGTGCTTACGGTTGAGTGGCGTCTATCTCTCAGGATACAATGATCTTCACAAACTTGTAGTAGCACTCCACACAAATTTATACGGCGAACTGGAACCTTGTGCTCTTACTCTCTGAATTTTATTCTAAAACTAAAATGAAGAATAATGCACAAAATAAATACTGGACAGCAAAGAGACAATTTGCAGACTGATTTTCAGATGTAAAAACACTGCTGAAATGTTGATATTTATAGGCAGCATAAACAGCCCCGAACAGGTGCTGTTTTGAATCCAACAGGTGCACTTTCGAAATGAACAGATACAGTTTTGAATTCAAACAAATATGCTACCAGGTTTTGAATCTGTTTAGAAATAACAGATCTGTAACTGTTGGGCAGTTAAAACCGAACCCGCAATATTTTTTGAAAAAATTCAAATGAATTTTGTCCAAAAAATTAATACAAGAACCGACTCGACCCACACCCGCGCCGCCGCCGAGCGCGTGTGTGGTGGTTTTGGCTAAGGTTCACTTTGTCCATAACTCCTTCCTTCAACAAACTTGGGGTGCAACCCAAGTGTTGTAGGCTAGAGCTTATAAACTCAACAAAACTCTCTTAAAGTTTCAATGTGGGACAAGCCTAACAAGGAAACTCACATTTAAAACTTAAACGTTCAATTTTACGAATCCGAAAACGACGTCATGTTCCCATTTACAAATGATTTTGACGAACCGTCTTCACCGTGTGACTTGCCACACGGCAAGGAACACTTCACCTCTTCGGACCCGCCCCAAAAGACGTTCGGGGCCCACTCAATTTTGGGCTCAAAGTTGGCTCAAAATATGCCTATATTAACCATTTTTTCAACAAAACTATGCTAATCAAAGAAGTGCTGATTGCAACATGCAACATTCTCAGGGACCATATGGTGAGAACCTCGCCGAGGGCTCTGGTGAGTTCACAGTGTCGGACGCAGTAAAGATGTGGGTGGATGAGAAGGCAAGCTATGACTACAATTCTAATTCATGTGTGGGTGGTGAGTGCCTGCATTATACTCAAGTTGTTTGGAGCAACACTGCACAAATAGGGTGTGCTAGGGTTCAGTGCCAGAATGAGGGTTGGTTTGTCACTTGCAACTATTATCCTCCAGGAAATTATGTGGGCGAACGGCCTTACTAGGGTGGTTTTTGATTATGTTCTAAGGTCAATTACTGGAGATCTTATATATATGTGTGCGTGTGTGTGTTTCATGGTTATGTAGTAACTAATGAATATGGAGAGGAAATATATAACTCGTAATCCCCAAAATTATGGAAATAAATATGTTGTTACATGGCTTTGCATGCCTATATTACAAAGAATATTCAAGAGTTGTTTGTCTGTTGTAGTTAGTATGTTTGTTGTAATTTTTAAAGTATGTTTGTATGTTTTTTGGGAGTCTTCATAGTTTTTTGTTGTAATTTTTTGTTTGCAATTTATGACTAAAAAATAATTAAAATAAATTGAATAAAATTGATTATATGGAGAAGATGTGTTTTTAGAATTTTATTTTATTTTATTTATTTATTTTTTCTAACTTAGAATAAGTTGTAGGACAATGACCCAATATTTATTGGCAAGTGTGCAAATTAAAGTTGC